CACACACACACACACACACACACCCCCACCCCCCCACACACACACACACATACACACACACACACACACAAACACACATTCTGCCATGCAGCAATGAAGTTGGCTACTACGTGCCAGAATCTGAGGAATCACCACCGTTGCGACTTGGAATGGCACGCAGTAGCCAACTTGGGCACAGACAAGGAGACCATGCACAGACCATGCACACATACGCACGCCCATGCACATGTACACAAATACACACACACACACACACACACACACACACGCATGTCGATGACGTCATTGTGCGTTTCGCCTGGTAGAGAGAAGAGGACAAAAGACAAAATGTACCATCATGTTAATGTCGGTAGCACAGGTGGAGAAGGCTCTTGCTGAGGTAATGAAGTATGCAGCGGAGGGCATCCACTACAACGGTGATATCGAGTTCTCTTTGCTGAAGGAGAGGGTGCCGAGGTACTTCGCAGTCAGTGTGGATATGAGATCCACAATCATGGCAAATGACGAGGGCTGTGTCAAGGCACGAATGCTCTCGCAACGCTTCAGAGAGTCACCACATGTACGTGTGGACAACGAAGTGGAACATAGTCCTTATAGTCTAAAAGGAGTGGTTCAGCGAATGTGCAACAAAAGGATGTGCGAAGATGGAGACGTGGACATGACAATGCACCAAAAAGGGGGAACGTATGCATCTGCAGATTTCAAAAAGTTGCTGGGCACTGTGGCGAAGAACTCCGACATGCTTGTTGATGGGTCCAAGGACGAGTTGAAAAGTGGTGCTGCAGAGATCTTGGTGTTGTCCAGAATGAAGGACATCACACAAACACCACCAAAGGACTTTCAAGATGTTTCTGTAATTGTTGCAGATAGTGTGGAATATGTTCTGTTGGATCAGCTCTGCGATTTCATGAAAAAGAGTGATGAGGACAGGAACGTCATCCACGAGGCGTTGCACGAAGTGACAGAGTTTGCACTGCAGGGTAAAGATCTGATTGAATTTGTGTCAGCGAGAGGAGAAGACGACTTCATATCCGGCAGACCGTTGTGGGGGGACTTATTGTCACACGTTTTGGACCGGCTCAGTTTTGCAATTTGCGATGTTGAGAGACAAAGAGAAAGGGAAAAAGGGTGGAAGTTGATCGCCAGGGAAACAAGTTTAGCAATCATTCCAGACAACGGAGAGACATCAGCAGCAGGAGAATCAATAAGCAGTATGGCAGTCGATGTGCCTCCCATGCAGATAGCAGATACAGAGGAGGTACTGCTTGCGGATATCTTCAATGCTAACGCGATGGAGAGAGATTAGTGTGATGTTGGATTCGAAGACGCCGATTTGGCAAGTTGTCTTGCAATATACACAGACAATGAAGATATAGCAGAAGATGAAGAAGAGGATGAGGAGGCATCGTCTTCTAACGTGGAAGTGAGCGGCAGCGATGTCAGCAGCGACGAGGCAGACGAGGAAGATTATGTTTACTATGATTTGAAGGGGGCGGGTGGACAAATGTCAAAAGGTTGGGCACATGCAGTTCTGAGGTTGGAACGTGCTTTCCCCAATCCGCACAATGTGCTGCGTGTTGTGATGAAGGGGGCAACACCTGACGGTGCTCTACAGTATGCCGCAGTCACCACTATAATGCAAGCATGCAACAAGGGGAAAAAGTGGTCACGTGTTGGCAAGGGATGATTGGTTCTGGTGAACAGAGAGGCTGTGCTAGCAACGTCACTGACGTGGGGAATCAACCAGAGTTGCCTTATACACGGCGCAATGGCGACAGCCTGCGGAGAGACATTGAACCCCGGCTTGTCAACAAGAGACGCCATAGTTAGTGCTCGGCCACGACATCTCTCAACAGGAGACGCCATAATTCGCAGTCAACTTGATGACAGACATGCATAGCATATAGCAATGGAGTAGTTGTACAAACAACCCTCAACTTGTACATCCCTCAACCACGGTCGGGTTCACTACTGTGTGCCATATAAGTATCCACCGGTGTTGTTTGTTATCGTTCTGGCCCGCACTAGTGAACCACTCTCTCTCTCTCTCTCTCTCTCTCTCTCTCTCTCTCTCTCTCTCTCTCTCTCTCTCGTATGTCTAGTTGTAGTTATATTACAACCTGTGCATCCGTCTACAGGTTTTGTGTCATGCTGCCTGTTGTTTGCCTCTCCAACTACATGTGGTTCACAACAGCGTCCAGACATTGGGTGCAACTTTATTTCAATCATTTGATGATTGTTACAATGTATATCATAATTTGTTGCCTTCTATAGCACGTGAGACACATCACACCCCCTATGATGACCAATGTGTGTATGTTGTGTTTTTTTTTTGTTTTTTTTTTTTGCATTCTTTGTGATGTCAATTCAAATTTTGCAGGTTGTGAAATGTTTTGGCAATGGATGCGGAGGTCGGCTGAGGTGCAGGTGTGCAATAATTTTGATGCAGACGCAGAAAACATATACTACATTCACAAACGTTATGGATGGATAGTTGCAAACTTAACCAGCCGCACAAACGTGGTGATGAATGTCATGTCACATATCGTGTACCTTGTGCAAGTCGTTGCCTTTTCCAACAAGACCATGAAACCTGTCGTGGCATATACATTATCGTGTCAAACGTCTGACTGCTAATCTTTGTCAATCGGGATCAGTGACAAAGACAGTCAGTTCCCAAAACGGCATTCAAGACTCCATCGTTCTCTCTCTCACACACAGAAGAGGAAGGGCAACACTTACAGAATATAACAAAATATGTTATGCAACTTATAATTCGAACGACCTCAACCAGTGTAAAAAATGTTAATCAAAGCACTGTCCACACCGTTCTGTTTATCTTTGGAATGGACTGCATGCACAGAAAATGGACAGTGGTCCACGGGTATGCGCCTGTGGCAGGCCTTTCATGTCCTTACGAACTTTGAATTCACATCGTGCGAGGGCATACCCGGTTGTGGTGGACGAAAGAGCACAAGGGCAGGAGATGTTTGTTGTTGACGCCTGCGGGCCATCAAACATAGGTGCAATGAATCTCGTGAGCGATGAGAGCGAGGACATCGGAGCCCACGAGAACGCAGACGGGGAGGGCGGGCCATTCGCAGAGCAGCAATCGCCGCCTGCCGAGTCTTTTCACAACTCTCGCAAGCTGGCGGCACTGATTTTCTCTACCAGGGGCGGCGTCGGTATATCGCAGAGTGACATAGATGCTCTCTTGTCACTTCTCAAAGACCCGAGATTCAGCATGACAGACATTGCATACCGTAATGGTCGAGAGTGTTTGACATGGGCAGGCAGTCTAGCAGAGGCTGTAGGATGGAAGGAGTCGGATCTGCGTAGCGACGACTGGCCACGAGATGCGCACGCCATCTTGTGGCACCGCGATTGGCGAACCACATTTCTGTCGATTTTAAATATCGCATTACAGAAATGCGAGACGATGTCTTCTCTAGAGGTGTCCCCGCCGTCAGAGGACCTCAATATATATGGCCCGCGCAGTGGGGCACTAAGTTATCACATCCAGTCGATCATTCAAGCAGACAATGGTGTGGACGGGAATGAAAATCCACGTTATGTTATCCCTCTGTCGCTCTATTCTGACAAGACACACACGGACGGTCGTCAAAAACAGACGGCGTACCCTCTAATGATGTYCCTAGCCGACCACGCATCCGAAGCCACACTGTTGGCCTATCTTCCTGTGCTTCATCATCGTCCACGTGACAAAGGATGGGGTCAACAGTCCACCGCATTCAGAAAGCGAAAGGCCGTCATCCACCGCATTCAGAAAGCGAAAGGCCGTCATTTTGTACAAGGCCCTTACAGTGGTGTTGCAGTCTGCGAAGGAGGCATCTCATGACGGAATAATGATACCGACAACGCGATTCGAGGACATAACTGTCCACCCTTTCCTCCTCAACTATATACAGGACTACCTAGAACAATGTGCGCTTGCGACTGTGAAGTTTGACGTATGCCCGACATGCACCGTGTCCAGAACCGACTTTGATGTCCTACCCGATTTCACGGACTGCAGGAGATTACAGACGCTCAAAACACACCTCACAGCAGCTGTGTTCACATCCGACGACGTCGACGTGCGACGTGCAGCGGAAGGACGAATGTCAGAGTTGAACATGCATAGGCATGTTCAAAAGAACGGTCTTTGGGGGTTCTACAGGGGCCCCAATGGTGACGACCCTCAGCTAGACTACCACCTGGCATTGCAGCCAGACCGTATGCACACAATCGAGCATGGCATATTCCTGCACATGATTGACGCATTCAGGACGGCGGCGTTTGACAAGTTGCCGCACATACCGCAAACAGAGATCCTCAAGGAACTAGATGCCAGGTTGCGGAGCGTTAGTGAGAGATGCACGCGAACATACCCCCAACTGGTGTTGCCGGTGGCCACTGATAGCGATTTTTTTTCGAGGGAGGGTCGGTTCGAGGCGAAGCAAAACCGTTCTGTGATGACAGTGTGCGTGTTCCTTATTTGTAATATTGTCCCGCGCTCGACAGGCAAGGGCATCACCCTTTGTTTTGTGAAACTGATGAAAATGTATGTACAAGTGTTTCGGTGCACAACACACACTCGTGCTTCGCTCGATGAATGCGACGCTTTGATCACGGACTTCATTACGACCATCAAAGCGAAATTGGGGAGATATCAACCATCAGAATGGAAACTCCCCAAGTTGCACGATCTGATGCATCTGAGAACGTGTATTGAGCGATCCGGTGTTCCTGACACCTTCGCAACAGACGTTTGGGAGCATCACCACAGGAATTTCTGCAAACAGCCATACCTGTCATCAAACAAGCGAAAAACTTCAACCCAGATAGTGAACCATGTACGCCGGTCGTTGGCGTTGCAAGAAGAGACCGGGATCGTGAGGAAACGGAGGAAGAGAACGGACGAGAAACGATCGTCTGTGACAGACTGCATGACCACGGGAATGAATACCCTCGCACTACGCGATACGGAAATCCTGCAACTGCGGTGGTTCGACATCGATGACGAGCACATACGGGAGGGAGAAGGCATTGACAACCGTGCGTGTAAGATACTCGAAGAGCTTCCTTTCAGACGTGATTTTCGAGCAGCGCTTACGACCTACATGGTGGAGAATGGTTGTCAACCTCCTTCTGATGACCTGCTTATACACACACGAACACACCTGGTCATCGCCTGCGTACAAGACGGAACAAACGGGGGCACACTTGTTCAAACTGCAAGAGCGTCGCCACAGTTCCATGGGAGACCAGTGCACAGTGACGTCGCAATAAGAGCAGAAAACGAATGCACATGGTTTGCATCAGTAGCCATGTTTTTTGTCGTGGATGCATCGACGAACAGCGAAAATATGGAACACAGCTGCGGATTTGTGCAATGGTACAAGGAGGTCGACAGTGAACGGCAACACGTGACAAGATGCAAGAAATTAAAATGGCGGAAGTTGAATTGGCATCAACACAGTAGCGTCGTATCAACCGATACTATTGTAGACATCGTTCACATTGTTCCATGCTTCTGTAAACCACAATGGGGATCGAAGCAACATGCAATACAGCGTGAGGACTGTTTTTTTTTTAACAAGTA